CAAGTGAAGAGTGTACTTATAAAAATAAATTTTATTGATCATTGAATTACATCTTTCATAGAATCAGTCTGTAATATTGTAAAGGACTCAATTTCAGAATAATGCATCAATTACTTGATTATCTGGGGTTGTTTATATTCCTAAATTGTAAAATCATTATCGGGAAAATAATGACCTAGGGAAATTGTCTATGGAAGTGTTTGTTTATGTTTTCAAAATATTGTACCAAAGATTATATTACCGGTATATCTCTTATTAAACAGATAATTGTAATTTATTCGGTGTTTTTAAATCTGAAGAGTAAAGATCATCTTGCCCCTGGTTAGATGACTGGTTTGTCAGTTTGAGCTTGTACATACAAAGGCGTCGGAAGCAAATTGAAAGGGGGAGGGGCTAACCAACAACTAAAAAAAAAAATGTTTGGAGGGCTAAGCCCCAGTTTCCAATACCTATATTATGTCTATCTTTCCAAAACAAAGTAGTGTGTGTGTGTGTGTAAAGCCCCCCCCCCCCCCCCCCCGACGCCTATGATAGATATCATTTGTTAGAATTATATTTCGGTTGTATATACTTAAATGAATTATTTATTTTAAACACTGACAATATCAAATGTAGAATTCCTTATTGTATACCTACAAAAGTCTACATTCAGTTTTACTTCCAAATACTGACACAAAAGCCTGCCATTAGTGTAAGATGATGTACATTTAAAATAATCAGATTTTATTAATTTTATTGAATATTTGAATATATTTGAATATTTTCATTGAATATTCGAATATGAATTATTGACATCCCTAAATAAGAACCTGTTGTCTCAATCTTCTTCAGATATACTACACCCAGTGCTTAAGTACTTAACAAAGATTACATTGAAGTCTATGGAGCAATTTTTTAAAAATAAAAATTCAAATAATATCAATAAATACTGAAGTGAAAAAATGCACTAAAACACATTAGAAATAGAACAACAATTGAAAATGATTTTTTTTTACCAGGTAAGATTTTTAAAATTAGAATTAAAATTTAAGATTTTTAAATAATTTATTAATGAAAAACAGAGGGAGATAACTCTTACCAAAATTCAATGTCATAAATAAGGACATCCCACCCTTACATGCTCATAGTAATAAATGGGAATTATGTCTAAATATACTGAGTAGTCAACACCTACACATCTGTTATGTATTCAATTTCATTGAATCTTTTGCTATTAGGATGGAATACCTTAACTTCTTTATCTTTTGCTATTAGGATGGAATACCTTAACTTCTTTATTGCTGACCGTTCATGGTAGCTCAGTCGGTAGAGCGCTTGTTCCATGATCAGGAGGTTGTGAGTTCGAATCTCGGCCGCGACTGACCTAAGTCCATAAAAAATGGGTAGCAACTGTTCCTTCGCCATGCCCTTGGCACTTTAAAGTGAAACTTCGGATGAGACCTTAAAAACTGAGGTCCTGTGTCACGGTAGGCGTTGGCATGATAAAGATCCCTCACTGCTCAATGGCCCTGAGTGCCGAGTAAAGGTCAAAATTTGAAGCCCTTCACTGGTATATTGTGACGTCTCTATATGAGTGAAAAATTCTCAAATGGGACGTAAATCAACATCCAATCAGTCTTTATTGCTGATTCAACACCCAACTTCTTCAGCAACCTTCTGAATGCCAGAGCTTTGCCTCATATACCCTTAGGCTAGTCCATTCCAAGGATTGTCAGGTCATTCCACTATTTGAAGTCTTCAATTCGTTTTACTCCAATGCCCCTTAACCATTACACCTATATCATATGAAAACCTTGACCCCCTGTTGTGGCCCTGCCCCACCTCCAGGGGTCATGGTTGGACAAAATAGAATCTACACTACCTGAGGATACTTCTGTAATAATATGACTAATCATGGCTTTGCTGTTCTTGAGAAGAAGATTTTTAAAGATATTTCTTATATATTCCTATGTAAAACATTGACCCCCCTCTTGTGGCCCCGCCCTACCCCCGGGGGTTATGATATGAACAAATTTGAATCTAGAGTATGTAATGAAGCTTTCACATAAGTTTCATCTTTTCTTGTGCAGTGGTTTTTGAGAAGTAGATTTTTAAAAGATGCCACCAAATTTTCATGATTCTTAATTATCTTCTCTTGAAAGAGGGCGCAGCACTTCCTGTGAACAAACTTGAATCCCCTTCACCCAAGGATGTTTTGTGGCAAGTTTGATTGAAATTGGCCCAGTGGTTCTTGAGAAGAAGTCGAAATTGTGAAAAGTTTACAGACGACAGATAGACACTGGACACTCTTTGATCAGAAAATCTCACTTGAGCCTTTGGCTCAGGTGAGCTAATAATAAAGTAGACCTTCACCTAATGTTATAACACCATTTTGCATAGTTTTAAAAATGTTTAAAACATTTCATCATTACTTTATCTATTTAATGTGACCAGTTGGCAATTTGAAATTTAAGTTAACCTACATGTTGATGGAATTAATTTTTTTTTTTTAATCTAGAATGTCTTGTAAACATTTTCACAACATGAAAATATTTGATTGGTGTCTCTCAAATATTTAAAATAACGTTTTTTTACAACTACAATAAGATGTTTTGTGCTTCCCGTAAATACGTTTTTTATAAAAGAAATTTTTTGAGTTATTTTCATAAATGGAAGTTCTTTACTCTAAAATTTCATAATTGACCTTGATAATTTTATGATTGTGTATTCCATTAAAATATTGACTGATCAGCTCCTTATATCAAAGCAGAGGATATATGTAAACAATATACATGAAATGAAATTTAAAAATGCTGATTTTAATTCCTTTATTTGAAGAAAAAGGTGACTTACTATTGAGTCTATAAATTCTTCAAGCTTTCAAAGGACCACGTACAGCCCTTTTTGGAAACATATTTTGACCAACTGACTGTACACATTCGACATTTTTTATGTCAACATTACTTTAATGTATTATAGGCATATTAAAATCATGCTAAATATGAAATTAGATAATATGAATTCGTGCCTCAAACAAATTAATTTTAAGTCCCGAAAAGTGTTAACCCAAGTCCAGAAACGTGTTGTCAGGTCCCGAATTGTTGGGGTCACGCTCCTGAAACATCCATAATTCTTGCCATCGATACTAAAAATAAAGACTTCTGTGAAATTCTTTTGAAGTGTCACTATTCCCCCCATGGTTTTAGTCCGATTTCAATATAACTTGATAGGCAAGTAAGACTACACTTAGATATATAATTCTTTATATTGGTTTGTGATATTGATGAACATTGTTGCCATTGGTACTGAAAGTAAAGATTTCTGTGAAATTCTTTCTTAGCGTCACTATTCCTCCTACGGTTTTAGTCCAATTTCAATATAATTTGGCACACAAGTATATAACACTAACAGTCTTTGACAAATCCCGGGAGTCTGAAGCCTGGGACCTGGTAAAATTGGAAGCAGGCATGTGGAAATTGCATACTTACAAGCCCAAAGGGCATGTAAATTCTGAGGCCTAAGCCTCCATATTATCAATTTAAATAATACCAATAGCATTAAATGTACTTAAAAGTCTGATTTTTCATCTAAAGTGGAGCACCAAATAAAATTTTAACGATACTTTATTCTACCACAATTTCCAAGGAACTCTTTTCCAAAGGAGACACAAAAAGTATACACGTTGAAAACAATACATTACTTCCAAGGAACTCTTTTGCAAAGGAGACACATAAAGTGTACAGGTTGAAAACAATATTGATGGCGAGACAATAGATCGATAGAAATGGATTTCGGATCATTTCCTTGGCATGAATAGGCAAATAAGAATAAAATTACTTGATAAAATTCTGGGCATGTAAATATTTGTTCGGGCTAGCGTAATAAGTGGTTAAACCTGCCTGAAATGCATGTACTGAACAAAAGATTTGGTGAAGACTGCATAAGCTTCATAATTCTGTTTATCAGTTTTTGATTTCGATAAATGGTGTTGTCATGGTAACTAAAAATAGATTTTTAAAAAATTTCTTTTAAAACGCTACCCTTACTGCTTTTTTTGTCCAATTGAAATCAAACTGACTCAGAAAGAAACTAAACCAAGGATCATTATTTTATTTATTGCTGTTGCCAAAATTTCAGGTCTTAGTGCTACCTTTGTTAATTATCCCCTGCATGACACAGTTTTTAGAACATTTGCTCTAGAGTCGCAATGTAAGGAGTTAATCCTTACATCGCATGTTAGAATTCCACTGATGGACATAGAGACAGGTTCTTCAGACGAGACCTTGGTCAGATGAGACCGTATAAACCAAGTTCATGTGTCGGAGTAGGTGTTGACATGAAAAAGATCTTTCACTGCTCAATTGCCCAAGTGCTGAGTATAGGTCTAAATTTGCAGCCCTCCACCAGCAAGTGGTGGGGTCTCCATATGAGTGAAAAATTCATGAGAGGAACGTTAAATAACAAACAAAACCCTTCAAGTTGTTAATTAAATAAAAATCAGTAAAGCTACAGTCTCATCAGAGACTTCTGGATATTCAGTGTGCCTTATCTTCTTTGCTCCTAAACTTCTAACCAACTAACTGTATGAATTTTGAAATGATTAGAGATGATAGAGTTCTCACTAAATGGTGAAAATTTTGTCACATAGGTCCAGACCTGTTCCAGATGGACCCAAAACGTTAATAACCTGGGGCCTGTTTTACAAAAGAACTTACGACTAAGACAAACTTATAATTCCACTTATTACTTTCTTTGGAACATTAATTTGAAAATGGTTTTAATAGTTTTAAAAAGAATTTAGAAAGATACGTTTATGACATAAATTTTAAATAAAATAATCAATTTTGAAATTTTTTACAATCAATGAAAGTATTTGGTCTTAGTTCTAAGTTCTTTTGTAAAACGGGCCCCTGGTATCCAGGTGACTGCCAATGTCCATAAACCTGGTACATGTATTCAAGTTTAAAAGTATTAACGAGTGGAATGACTAATCTTTGTTTAATGGTTGATTCCTTTTATAGATGAATCTAGAGACAAACCTCATGGCCCTGGCTTTTACCAGGATCAGTACTCAACAGTAGAAGAAATGGCTGCCAGTACAATACAGGCAATGTCTAACCAGAATCGTCAAAGCAATGTATTGGGAACCCCTACTGCCACCACAGCTGCTGCTGGTCTGTTCGAACCACACTTACATTCATCTATGAACTATGCTCTCAAACCTGAAAAAGGTCTTCCACCTACTCCCCCAGGTAAGAAGAATGATGGTAAAAAAAGAATTTTGTACTTATATTATTAAGGCCCCACAAGGATTTATGGATGCTTTATAGTAATCACTCTGTCTTTTCTGTTAATAATTTTGTTCAGCTCACATGAGCTGTAAGCTGAAGTGAGCTTTTTCTGAACACTGGTTGTCCACATCTGTCTGTCTCTCTCTGTAAACTTTACACATTTTTGACTTCTTTTCAAAAACCACTTGGCCATATTTAACCAAATCAGCACAAAGCATCTTTGGGTAAATGGATTCAGAATTGTCAAAATGAAAAGCCAAGCCCCTCCAAGGGGAGATCATTAAGAAAAGGCGAAAATAGGGTAGCATCATTAAAAAATCTTCTCAAGAACCACTGTGCCAGAAAAGATTAAACTTGTATGTAAGCTTTCTGATGTAGTGTAGATTGTACATTGTTCAAATCATAGCTCCCAGGGATAGGGTGGGACTGCAATAGGGGATCAAAGTTTAACATGAGAATATATGGAAAAAAAACTTTTCATCAAGAACTACTGGACCAGGAAAGATTAAAGTTATGTTTAAACTTCTTGATATAGTGTAGATTTCTAAATTGCACATCATGGCCCCCAGGGATAGGATAGGACCACAAAAGGGGATCATAAGTTTTACATAAGTTTTACATAAGAATGTATCTCATAATGGAGATATATTGAAAACTCGAAGTTCATGCTTGACAGAAAGGATTGGTGTGTCATGTCCTTGACTAAGTGTCACAGTAGCAAGTTCAAGATCACAAGCCAAAAAAAGTATAACTAGTGTCTGGTCAAGAACTCTCTTATGAAAAATATTGGATATTAATTGATAATTCACAAAAAATTACTTATGAATTGAGGGTAAGGTAAGTTAAGATAATATTTATTTAAAGTTGGGTTTTAACAACAAAAACATTAACTCTGAAGAGCTATTTTCTGATTACATATTAATATTATTACATATAAATACAACAGCCACACAAAATATAGAAGAAATAGTGCTTTTTAAATATCACACTTCTAAAATATCACTTTACTATAATGATGCATATAAAATGATATGACATAGGATTATATAGGAAAAAACTTTTAACATCTTCTCAAGAACAGAAAATGCATATGAAACTCAGAATACAACAATACCCTGATAATACTGGCCAGTCACTTTGATTGATTGTTGACCAGCATGGCATTTACACGTGGTCAGTCAAAGCCTATGTCCTCAAAAAAGCATGTGTCATATTTGTTCTGATTTGACTGGATGAGGTTTTAAATTTAAGAAAATTTAAAGAATGGAATTAGTAAGGCTACTCTAGCTGCTACTATTGTTGTACTATATAGCTATCATTATCATCATTATAGGAAGTTAAACTTGCTTTGTCTGTCCACATGTAATTGTTGTTTACTGCGTACTATAGTGAACAATCATTCAATACGATTGGTCAGTATTGTCAGTGGTATTACTGGGTTCTGTGTTTCTTGTGCAAAGTATTATTGATTCCATTGAAATCAAACATCCAATCGATGAGTAATAAGAAAATCAGCATACAAAAATTTAGCACACCTCATCCAGCAAACTGTCATGCTGTTAGTAAAACAATAATAATTTATCAATCTTTATATGCTTATACATATTGATGAGAACTATTCAATCACATTAACATATTTTATATCTTGACCATTCATTTGACCTTGACTTCAAAATTTGTGTTTAGCTTAATTTCAAAGAAACTATTCATAAGACAAATATTTTTATCAAACTCCATTTGCTTTTTCTTATTGATGAGAGCTTTTCAATAACCTCAGCATTTTTTACCTTGACCTTTCCTTTGACCTTGACCTCACTTTCTAAAATTTGTGTTTAGCTCAGTTTAAAGAAACTGTTCAAGATAGTTTTATGTATGCCTATGCACTGATACATTATTTGGTGAGAATTTACCAACTGTGTCCAATTCATTTTACCTTGACCCTCCCAATGACTTTTTACCTTACTAATTTTATTGCGCTTTAAAACTCAGTTTTAAAGAAACTATTCAAGATATTTTCATCAAACTTCTTACATTAATACAGATTTTCATGTTGCATTACTAATGAACCCTTGGTGGGGCATTCATGACTTATGGACATATTTCTAGTTTTTTTCTCTGTTTCTTTTGTTTTTTTGACGTACATCTTAACTTTATTTTGCCCTGAAGAAGGGAGATGGCGTCCCGAAAATTGACAATTTCTATTGTTTGTATCTTGGTCATTTTTAGTGCTTTGTATAATGCAGCTATGTTAAGGCTTCCCGAAGCTTTAAAATGCGCTCATAGCATAATATTGTATTGGGAGGTTGGTTTTGGTTTTAATTCATAAGTATTGTACTTTAGTACTTCCAATTTATATAGAGGGTTCCCTCGGCTATATATTAACAATTATTTGGTATGATATCACATGACTTTGTTGTTCACGTGATGGTCATTTATAATTTTTTGAAGTGTTTCACATAAATCGCTTCGGCGCAGCTGATTATCACAATAATTATTAACATTTTGTTATATGAATAAATTCATCGTATCCTTGTGTATCCGATATGTGCTTGGGAAAAGTCATAGTATTACTTGGGTACAAAATATTTCGTGAGAAATTCAAGTTTGTGGGTATTTTCCACACAATATCGTAATCTGTATCAAAACAAAGCCATCACACATTTTCCCCAAGCAAGATTCAGTTAGAGAACAACCTCTTCTTACAGATTTCCACAAGAAAACTCAGATTAATCCTCATTAATCACCTGCGCCAGACTCATTTATACACACAAAATAAATTATACCTCCAACCACAGGTATAAAACAGAGTACATTTCAAAAGTGTATTTTTTGTAAGCATTTTGAACATGCTGAATTTTATTCAAGGGTACGTAAGCGATGTATTTCTAAAATATTCGGACATATAAGACTTAAAAAACCTTTAAAGACTCGTGAATTTTGCAGCAGTTATTTAGCATTTTACATGCAGTTTGAAATAAAGTGTAAATTAAGTTCATGACACTCTCCCCGTCAAAACAACTCAAGTTGGCACTGACTTGACGTAATTTTCTATTATGATGTCATATTTTGATAGTTCAGAGAAGTGAAGGCACAGAGTGCACTGTGATATTCTATGGGAAGCCTTAACCTGCCTGCGAAAATTCCCTTTTGTGATCTTGTTTCTATTTATGAGTCCAAATCGGCAAGCATCGAGCATTTCATGGATAGTCAAAAATTTATTTTTCAAAAGCTTTTGGTATATAATTGATATTTTCCTACTTAATGCTCAAACACAATTAAAAAATTATTTTGGATATATTAAGGGACTGGTATGCAAGGAAATCCATTTTCTTGGTTACGGGTTCATAAATCCAAATGAAATCAATGAATTTTTAGCCATTTTTCTATGAATATGCTTTCTGTACATTATAAAATAAGGTATTTTGATTATCTTATTTGTTGAAAGAATGAATTACTTTATTTTCCAAAAATAACAAAAACAAAATTTCTGTACTGATATTGTTGCCATGACAATGGGAAAAGAACATGACATCAATACTTATTAATTTTGGAAAAAATTACATGTTTATCACTATATATGCAAAATCTACAACCACCGCTGGAAAAATGATTGCTGTGCTCTTGAGCTTGTTCGGGGTCATCTATATGTCATGTCTATAAAATAAAATAGATGGGCAACTTTAGTAGAAAAAAGTTTTAAAAGGTCAAAATGTGTGTCAGTCTGGCATTTATAAGCTTTTTTTGAAGAGGTACGGGTATACTGAATACATGTAGTGTCCATTATATTGGTTTTATTGGTTTTGATCAAAGCTTACTCATAAATTACTATTTTTGAGTAATAATTGCACAACCAATTTCAAAGGGAATTTTATATCCCCCACACATGAAACTTGGAAAAGGAGGGGATATAGGAAACACTTTGTCCGCTGGTCCATCCATCCATATGTCCATACAATCTTGTCTGGTCCAGAACATTTTAATGGAGAGCCATTGAAAGTTCATACTTGATATTATTAATAAGATTGTTTACGACTTGGAGATGTATCATGAACTTGACCCAAGATCATTTGAACAAGTTCAAGGTCATTGGAAGAAGAATAGTGCAATTCATGCCCATTCTATAACATTCTAATGAAAAGACTTGAAAATTTATACTTAACTTAAGGTTTGTTTATGAGTTGTGGGTGTGATATGACCTTGACCAAAATTCATTTGGGCATGTTTGACCTTGACTCAAGGACGTTTAGCATTTTCAAGGTCACCTCGGTGAAAGTGTACAATTTGTGTTTGGTACACAACTTCGCATGAAGAGACATTGGAAGTTTGTGCTTTACACAAAGGTTTTAGGCCAAAATAAAAAAAAAAATTGTTTCCCATAACGCGACCGACCCAATTAAATCCCGCCAAGTGAAAAGTTTTTTTTTTAAGAATATTATTCACATATTTTTTTTAAATGTTTATCAACTTATATGAAATACAATTTCATCAAAATCTTAAATTCTTATTAGAACAGCCGATTTTGTTTTACTGTGATTTTCAAGCTTTTGTTGGAAACAAATGGCGCCCATATTGTGGTCACATGGGTTAGTTGGTGTTATAAAACAACTGCAACATATCAGCCATATGCCTTTAGCTTATTAAAATCTTACACTCTTGAAACATTTTGTTAATAAAATATACCATGACTAATTAAGAGTGTTTTAGTGTTATTTACAAACCTGTCTTTTAAAATTAAGGTACATAGTAAGCATGGTAAGGCCCCCCTCATTAGCAGACAGGGGGCCTAACTTGTGAACACATCAATTAAATTCACTGCATTTTATTTAATTTGAGTGATGATCTAATAAACAGTTCTTATGTTTATTACATGGGACCATAGGAGTTGTAAATATTTCTGCATATTTCATCCTGATGAATATATTAATTCAGATGTTCTTTCCTCATGCCTTTTATTCATGGGT